ACACACACACACACACACACACACACACACACACACACACACACGCACACACTGGGGTCGTCACAATATGCGTTTTTGCATTTGCATATTATGCAAAAACGCATAAAAAGTATCCGCTTCTCTTCTCCATCTTGCAAATTAGTTACATGACTATTCAAAAAATGGCGAGTGGGAGGCTGTATTGACGATTCCCGCTCCTACCCGCATGCATAGTTCGGTGTGTGTATACAGCTAAGGGATGAAACACAGACTTACGAGATAGTAAAATGTCCTTCGGCACATGACACCTAAGATCAATCCTTCCATTCTACTATTTCACCAGTGGAACTACTAGTCCCTCCATGACTTGTTCATTTGTTTCAATGATAAACTGCATATAAGAAGCCTACAGGGCCGCCTTAAAGAGAGCGAACCATCGCCTGTGCCTCGTTTTATCCGGTTAAGCTCAACTGGTTCGTTTTACCAATCCGTAGTTGCTGTTGGCACTTACTACCAAACCAGACTACTTTCGAGTGCCTCCGTTTCTTACAGAATGAACACGGAGATAGTGTTGGTAACATTTAACAGTTAAATCCGGCCTTTTATACTTGCATTGGCGAGCATTTCGAATTTATACGGGTGCAGCCAGTTCAGTTCTGAATCACAGACAAACCCATTTAACAGTTCTAATAAGTAAAATGTAAAGTAAGTTTTGGAAGTAAAAAATGATAAAAATTTCAATGCTAACCGAATGAACGGCGCTTTCATGTGCCTTAAAAGTTCGGAGTGCTGATTTTGGTCCATCCAGTGTCGTGAGGGGGCGCTGTATGCTGTACAGCCGAACAGCGCCTTCTTCGCCACCCACAGCTAAACAATACACCAAGTGATAAAAAAAAAGAATACAAATTAGATCATCTTCAGTACGAATAATTTCGGGTATTTCTTCGAAAAAGTACGCTTTGCCGTCAAAAAAAAAAAGAAAAAAAAAAAGAAATATACATATTTAGACGCACAAAAACGCAATCATGCAGACGGATGCACAAAAATTTACACACATAAATGTGATGTTCGCCTATGCAGATGGCCTACAGAGAGTGAAAATCAGGTTCCTTTGTGCAAGGCTAGGTAATCTCATGATGTGGTGTAGTTAAGCAAAGTAAAGCTGTCATAACAGTTTTGTATCGCGAAAGCAGTAGAACCAGCGTAAGCGCTGCGCCAGCGCAACACAATGCGTTTGCCGACACAAAAAAGAAAAAACCCCCTGGTCAATAAGATATCTTGTCCCAACCAGTAACAGCAATGTTCGGGAGGAATTCCGGGACGCAATAATCTCATAGCAGGAAAAAGCTGAAAGTTGCAAGTGGAAAGGTGCCTTATTTCTAAAACTGGTGATAAACTGGGAGGGTTTCTGGGTAAAAATCTTCAGATTACTGGAAGAACCAAAAAAAATCGAGTGGGGAATCTAAGCGTGTTAGTGTTGGAACTGAGATGCCATGACAGAATTTTCAACCCTGACCTACAGCTAGTAACTATCCTCCGTCCGATGTAGGTACATTAGCTCTCCTCAGAGGCTGCTCAAGTGACACAACTTTTACAATTTTTATAGAGCAAAACATACCCATTAATTTGCCATCGCGACGAAATCTTATTCCATAAACAGCCTGCTTGAAGCGGCCATAAACTGACATTGGCTCACAAATGCTGGTATCGAAAACGGTCAGCTGAAATATAATACCACGAATTCAACAGGTCCTTTTCTAGTCGAAAAGGTGCCTTGCTGTGGTCTAGGGTAGGCAACTTTCTGGTAATCGTCTCAAAAGACATAACGAACGTCAGGATCGCCATTAGGCTGACCAACAGCTAATGCAGCACTGGTCAAAGCAAAAAAAAAAGTTCCAGCTGTATTAAACAGTGAACCAATATCATAAAATAAATGGCAACGCTCACCAGACTAGCCGGTGCGATCATGCGTTTTGTGCAATTCAGTCCATCGAACGATTGTCTGTTAAT